GGCGGAGCTAGTGGGGGTTCGTGGGTTCAGACGAACCCATTAACTTTTTGTAGATCCTGTATTTTTACTAGAAAAATAATTAAATATATTTGTATATTAATTTGTGAACCCCTAACAAAATTGACTGACGGTTCTAAAGGAAATTTACAACCCCCAAACTCTTAATCCTGGCTCAAAGAATAAATACATCATAAAAAATTGTATTTACCTTGTCAAATACTTCATTTTCACATTGTCTCTTTTCAGCTAGCCATCCTCGTAGCATCTCCTTATATTTATGGTTAAGACGGTCATTAATTGGTTCTTGTGCAGGATTTGTATTAACCGCATGTGGTTTATAAATGGTGTAACAGTAAGCTTCACCTTTAGAAGGTTCAATTCGTATGCTAACATTACGTAAAATTGATCTTTTCTTCTTCTCAACAATCATGTTTTCGGATACTCTTAAAGTAAAGAAAAGTCAAGAATAATAGTTGAGAAGTATTGCGGTTTGAGGCTTGAAATATTGAGGCATATATATAGATAATTAAATTGAGAAGATGAAACTAATAAGATATAATTGCTTTTAGAAAAAAAAATACAATATTTGGTCAATATACTTATTTATTATTTGTAGATGGTGACTCTTTTAGAAAAAAAAATCATGATATGTGGATATATGGTCAATACTTATTTATTATTTGTAGAAGGTTGCTCTTTTAGGGGAAAAAATCATGAATTTTGGATACTTGGTCAATACTTATTTATTGTTTGTTGAAGGCGGAATGGTTGAGAAGACCCTTCTACTTATCGTGATTTGACTAAGCTTATGCGACATTTAACTTTGCTAAGACGGATAAAATGTGTGGTGACACATATTTAAAAGTGAGTGAACACAAAAGTTTGAACTAAACAATATTTAAAATAATTATAGGAGTGGGGATTTGGGGGGCATATTATAGCAAAATAAAAAAAAGAATTAAAAATATTTTGTTTTTTGTAACTATATATATAAACAAAAGGCGTAATAAATAAATATGTCATGTAACTTGACCTTGGTTTGCATCTATGCTCTCCAACTTTTGATGCGCACAAGTAGACACATAAATTTTTATGAAGTTGAACAGATAAATACATGAATCCTACGTTGCATAATACACCTAGGATACCGCGTCGTGCATGATTTAACATGTATGACGCCAAGTAGCTAGCAAAATACTATATAGGCGGAAAGGAGTGGGGAGTGATGGTTCAAGGTGGGATAGTCAAGTGATGGGAATTGGGGATGTTGGGTGACTGCGGAGGGATAATGAATTGGAAATGTCACTTATGAAACATATTTTACCTTATTTTTATCAAAAAAATCATTTTAAGGAGTTTGTTGACAATATGTGTTCAATCAAAACGATTTAAATCTCTCTCTATGACTTATTTTAATTTTGATTTCATCTTAATTCTACTTATCTTCAAGCTACCCCTCCCACCATTTTCTCTCTTTCTTTCTTTCTTTCTTCACCTCTCATCCTCACCCTCACCCCCACGTCAAGTTGAGCCCTCCTCCATTTTCTTTCTTTTCTTTTTCTTCTTCGGCCAAATTCCTTTTTTCCAATGATTTTTTAAAAGTTATTGATAAACTTTCACTACAACTCCATCCATTGGCAAATATCCTGTACCGTGGCACGGAATTAGGAAATAGCAGCGGATCTTAGCTCTTTTCACGAATCCGCAGCAAGAAGACACATATATTTTCATGAAGAATAAGCTCTTAGATGTAGCATTACGGGATGTGAATCTAAAGGTTAGAACTAATAATCTAGCTTTTTGCAATAAGGGCTTTTCCCGTAATTCGAGTGAGATTGTCATGGCGCAAAAGCATATATGGTCTGGTATTCCCTTGTTTCCTGTATTGGTTATGTTCTTTATATCTCATCTAGCAGAAACTAATCGAGCTCCGTTTGATCTCCCAGAAGCGGAAGCTACCAACTTGGAAAAGTACCCCCTTATTAGACAATTTTGTCCGTAGTTTTGACTTAAAAGTGGACGATACAGTCGATAAGGAGGCTGCAAAGTATGCTAAGGATCATAATATCTTTGTGAACCTGAAACATGAAATTGCATAAAATATATCTCTTCTCACCATCCCCATAGTGTATGAGACAAATGTATGCATTTCGATTAGGGTCGTATTCTATGGTTACGATTCTACCATATATGTCTTTTTCATTCCGTCGAAAATCGATTTTACGGTATGGACTTATTTGTATAAGTATTTCACATTTACGATGAAATTTATGAAAATTGACCCACCACTTCTTATTCTGGACAAAGGAATCCTATCTAATTTACTAATTCGGCGGAAGATACTGAATTTTTGTATTTGAAAAAGATTTCCGTAGGGATCTATTAATTATTTTTCTAAGAAAAATCAAAATTTTGAAGGTATCATCAATTAATTTTTCTCCTTTTCATATAACTTCAAAATTAGAAATGATAATTTTGAAATCAATGAATTTCTCGAAAATTGAAAGAATTCGATTAAAATTTGAATTAAAAAACTAAATGATACCTACTAATCATCTTGAAATCTAATGATTTATCAAATTGTTCAAAATATAAAGAAAATTATATATGGTTTTAAAATTGAAGAGTGTTAAACTAATAGTAGTAAAAAAAGAAGGTGGAGTAGTGGTAAAATTGTGACAATTAAATAGGAGCTTCAATGGAGATGACAATGAATTTTTGAGAAAGAAACAAGAAAGAAAAAGAAAAAATAATAAGGACAAAAAGTTAAAATAATAAGAAAAACAAGAAAATATATTTTATAACAAAATACTTGTAAAAATAAAATTATATTCGTTATTTTAGGTTGTTCACGCTCTTTAAGAGAGTGCATACCCTCTCTATGCCAAGTGAACAAAAAACGATGTAATAATATCAGTTCAAGATTGTTTATGGAGCAATATGACATCCGCATAGTTAAAGTGTCTTTTTGAAAATTTGGGACAACTTCAAGTGTCTCTTTATGTCTTTTCTCATTTATTTACTTATATATAGAGGTCATACAGTTACAAAGAAAAAATTTAATATGGTTGAGGCACAACCAATAATAGTTGTGTGAGACTCCATTCAATTTTTGACACTTGGATTTGTGGGCCCATTTTAACAGCACACACTCTCTCACCTTATTTTTCTCCAAATTCCCCCCTTTTCCTTCCAAATTATTTTAGCTCTTCTCTGTTCAATATTCCTCTCTTTTTCACATTTTATTTGTTAATTCTTTGTGCTCTTTATTAATTAGTAACTTGATTAGCTCTTTCTTTCCCATTAATCATTTTTGTCCCTCAACTAAATCAATTTAAAAAATTGCCACCTCTCAACCAATTCAATTAAAACATAATTATTCCTCGTAGCCTTAGAAAAATAATCTTTGAAAATTTTCATTTTACATCTCAAAAAATTGAATCAAATCCCTAGGATACCTTTAAAAGATAAATTTTGACTGAGAAATTCACACACACTTTATATTTGTATTAAGAAGTATTCACTGAATATCGAAAATCGAACTAAATAAAAATCTAGTCAAATTGAATATTTCTTCTACTTTAATTTATTTTAAAAAAAATTGATATAATTAGTTTTAGTTTTAAAGTAAAAATAAATCGAAAAACCACCTATGCTTAAAAAATTTGACACAATGCTTAATTTATTTTCAAGAATCAATCGGTTCCATATAATTTTAAATTAACTACTCATTATATTATTATTATTATTATTATTATTATTATTATTATTATTATTATTATTATTATTATAATAGTAATAATAATAATATAATAATAATAATATCATTTAGCCTTAATATTATAAGAATTCATTTTTCATGTCTTTACGTACATTCAGTTATAATATATATTTCCACCATGTTTCTATTAAGTATTTAAAAAAATTATAACTTAATTTTAGGAAAAATAACGGATACTATCTATTAAGAGAATGACTATAAATATATGAACTAAAACAAAATTAAAATAACAATGACTATAAATATATGAGCTAAAACAGAATTTAAAAAAATGGAAAACTAAATTTGAATTAATTTGTTTTTTTAGGTGCTAGTAATTGAGAAAACACTAAATATTTTTTAGTTAATTTGATATTATTAAAAATATTGAATGATATGAGGATTTTAAATACTCACTCCTAAAATGTTTTTTTAGTTATTGTGATAAAAAAAATGTTTATTAATTATTTTATTCAATATATCAACATCTTAAGAAAATGAAGTTAAAAAATATTTATTAGGAGTAAGAAAATAAGAAAATGAATGAAAAGAAGGTTGAGTAGGAGAGAGATGATAAAAAGGTAAAGAAGTAAACACAGTATCCAAGTGTCAATTAATCAATGGAGGGTCACACAACTATTGTTGGTTGGGTCTCTACCATTGTAAAATTTTTCTAGTTACAAACACTGCAATTCAGATATTTCCTCTAATGTAACCAATTAAATTTTTCTGAACTCACTGTTTCTTAGATAAGAAATTTCAGAAATGGACAAAAAATGCACCAAGACATGCACCATTATTCTTATAACTAAATAATTTAATTTGAATTTTTTAAAAAAGGCAAGAGATAATGCTTAAGAAGCAAAGATCACTTAAACCTATGCTATCAATACATGTATTTGATTGAACATGTGCCAAAATTTCACCTATTGAATTAAACAATGGCAAAAGATGTTTGCAGTACACTTGGAAAATTAATTCAGTTCTTCGAAAGTATTGTTTTGATTTTTTGATGATCGCTATTTTTTCTCATTTATAAGGATGTCAATCTCTCCTCTGTTTTTGTTGTGACTAGAGTAATAGAAAGAATGTCGAACAAGACGTGATGGATATTTTCCTTGTTCATCAGACATACTTTCATTGGAAACTTATTAATGAATTCTTCCTCTCTTATTTTATGTCTCATAAGGAAAACATCAAATATTTGTTTAATCTTAGTTGAAGTTTTGATCATTACTGGCTGCATACATGTGAAAAATTGGCATGTTGGGAGCTAATAAGATATGCAGGGTATACTCCAAATATATCATGAGCCAAAAAATAGAAAAAAACTGACTTGCATTCAATGTGTTTCATGCTCTGAGGAAAAGCAAGTGAGGTTGTTCTTCAGCGAGTTTATGATTTTTCACTTCGACCACCTGGTAAAAGACTGGAATTTTCATTTACGAGAAAAACAGATTGACTTAAGTTACAACAGAAATTTAGTTTTTACCTGAAAGCCAACCTTTTGATAAAGCTTTTGTGCAGGTCCGTTGTTTGTATGTACATGCACGAACACCTTTTCTGCACCTATCACACAAACAACAGATTTAGTCTTTTGGTGATTGATCATTGATTCTACAACTGTTGCATCCTAATTGCTTACCATTTTCTTTCGCCAATCTAATAGCAAAATGCAACATGTTTCTTGCAACACCTTGCCTTCGAGAAGATTTGGAAACACATAAATTTGCAATATAACCATATCTATTGGAGGATCTTCTCTCAATGTTGCTCAAATCAGGGGAATTCACCCTTCCCTGTGGAATTGAAGACATTTCAAATTTTTGCGGGAAATTATTACTTATTTGTCAGATTTATTTACACCAAAATACCCCAGGAAAAGCCTCTCCATGTGACAAGTGCCCGATGATCAAATCTAGTGTCCCAACGATACTCTTAAGTACTGTATATCTGATAATTTTATCTTCTGCCCGCACCTGTTGATGTCAACCGTACATGTCAGATATGATGATTTTTTCTTAATGAACTAAAACAAGTTTGAAGCTAATTGTCTTGCAAGAGTTGAAGAAAAATAATACTCCCTCTGTTTTAAAAAAAATGACCTCATTTCCTTTTTAGTATGTTTAAAAAAGAATGACTTTTTTCTTTTTTTGGTAACATTATAATTTCAGCTTTCCACGTGACATGTTTAAGGCTACAAGAGTAAAGGACAATTTTGTACATTTGACATAACTTTAATTTAAGACCACAAGATTCAAAAATCTTCTTTATCTTCTTAAACTCCGTGTCAAGTCAAACTAGACCATTCTTTGTGAAACGGAAGGAGTATTACGTGAAGGTAAATTTCTGTTAACAGATTTATACAGCAACAATGCAGGTGCATCTCTGCCCAATTTGTGCTTTGCATCTTCTTTTCAAGGCATTAAACTCCTGCATAGTGGAACTATGAGATATTATGCACTGCGCATACGTTTTTCATGTAACACTTGTAAATTAACCAGTTGAGTACCTGCTCTGCATATTTCCTTTTATAGTTATTGATGTATCTGCATTATCAAAGAAAATGGTTAAAGAAAACGAGTAACCATCCAATCCGACCCATTAGATATGGGTCGGATAACCAATGTTTTCTCAAAATGGATCAAATATGGATATTATCCACTAAAAATGGTAATGGCATAAAAATAATACCATTATCGCACAAGAATAGTCATAACATGATGGATCTTATAAAGAATTCATATAGCCAATCCCGACTAGTTTAGGGGTGATCAGAGGCGAGTTGATTGATTCATTTATAAGCATACTTTTCAAGTGAAGAAATGAGAAAACAGGGTACATACCGATCATTCTGGCGATCTTCCCAGTGAGATTCAGCTCGCAGCCATGCTGCTGTCTGTCAATTATTGAAGCTAAACATACAGAAAACACAACCTATTGGATCTTAAATTATGAAGAGTGATACTAACCCAATATTCTTCATCAAGCACTGCTTCATGTGCCATGAACTGACCAAACTGAAGTCGATTTTCCTGATCCAACACTTGTTCATCCGACAGCTGCAATCGATCAAAATGGAGATTCGATGTGTATGTTGATTCAGTCTCAGATTGTGGAATGGGATATCGCAATTCTCTAAACACTTGTTTCTTCCCCGTGCTTGAGGAATTGGGATTCAGTGACCTGCAATGAAGTAATAACACACATGCTGATCTTTACTATATATAGATACCCAATCATAGATGAGCTTACTGACATTATCCAGGAAGCAGAAACACTCTCATGTCTGGTGAGATTTGCCATTTTAGAGAAAGAATTTGTGAGGTAACCACTAGCGATTGTTGACATTCTCTTCTAAAGTTAGGATCTTTCTTGATTCTTGAGCACCAAACAGAGAGCACAACTCTATAAAAGTAATTATGGACAATTTCCTTTTTGGTCTTATTTTATTTTCCTCTTTTTGTCTCACTTTCTACCTTCAACTTCTCTTATCACACTTGCTTAAAAGTATATTCAATCACAAGTGTGGATAAAAGAGGAGAGAGACAGAGTACATTATCAATTAGCACACTTGTATTAGTTAATTGAGTTTTACTTTGTTATTTGCAAATTAAAGGGTGGTTTCGTAGGGTGTATAAAAATAGTGGTGAACATGATATATTAATATTGTTGATTGAAAATATGTATCAAATAAAATATTAGTAATAAATAAATTTAATATATATATTATTATTTTTTAATGCACTCCACCAAACTTTCCTAAATGCCTCAACTAAGAGGTTTTGTCAGTGTGCTAGTAAATTTTGGATTATCCTTGTGCAATTTTTTTTATTTTTGGTTTCGTTGGATTGTCCTTATGCAAAAAAAAAATATATATATATTTCTCACCTACCGTTTAGTATTTATATTAGAGTTGGACTAAATTTAAATTTGAGCACCGAAAAGCCCCATTTGAGAGGTAAACTGTTTCCTAACAATAACGATTTCATACCTAAGGGTACTCAAACTCAAAACATCTGATTAAAGATGAATACATACTTATCAATTCACCATAAATTCCTTACGCAAATTTGAGCTGTGGAGCACATGGGTTTGGAAAGGAAGCCGCTAGAGGCTATAATAATTAGGTGAAGGTATGTATATCATTGTCATCCATATGTGGATCTATAGCAGCCACCCAATTGCTTCCTTGTCCTCCTCACGTTTCATTTAAATATCTTAATACAAAATTGGGATCACAAATTTTAGATTACCTTTTTCTTTTTTTTTCTTTCCCAATCGATGACCGGAGTTCACATTGGAGCTCCGACTAACTTTGAATTACGTTCTGCAAGGCCCATTCAGGGGTGACGCTCCGAACAAGAATTTCTCCATATCCAGGGCTCGAACCCGAGACCTCTGATTAAGGGTGAAGCACTCCCATACGTGCACCACAACCCATGTTGGTAGGCTACCTTTTTCTTTTTTAAAACAATAGACTTGCTAAGTTGTCAATTTATTGGCATATATATTATGTGTCCACATGAATTATTTTTCTCATCACTTGTGATCTATATAGTAGGGTGTAGTTTACATATATTGTCTTTCTTTCATGAGGATAATGTTCAATCATGCTCATTATGTCATCGTTACTAATTCAGGACTTATTTAATTATTTCTCAGCCAATTGCTAGAACATTTATCAATATCATATTTTACCAACTTGTACTAGTTCATGCCTCTTTTCCACTAAACGCTATCACACTATTTATTTTTTTATGAATATGATTTTATTTTTTATAATTTTTAAATTTTTTAAAATAAACTTATTAAAATTAAAATAATCTAAAAAAATTATTTAAGTATTGAATTGGTGTAAAATCTTAGATTTAATTAAAAAAATTATATATCTACAAACGCCTTATGATTACTAACCATGGAACACTCCAAATAAAAATCACATGGTGGCTACTAGACAGCTCTTGGCACTCTGTAACAAGTACTCCCCTGTTTTTAATTACTTATTCACTTTTGAATTGACATGTCTATTAAGAAAATAGTGATGTACATAATAAGTTTACTATTTTACCCCTATTAATTATGAAATTGATGAATTAAAAATTTAAGATTTTCAAGAAGTTTTATTGTAAGTTTTAGATCGTCCATGTGGACCGATCCAATCCAAGAAGTTGTCTGAGAAGAGATGAGAATTAATTATCTCTTTTAAAATAAAATAAAAAAGGAATATTAATTAATCTGAAAAACTTATCAACTCCTCTTGATAAAAGAATTTATTCCTTTACAGAAAAAGTGATAACATGAACAATAAAAAAAAAAAAGAGAACAAAAAACCAAAAGAAAATGACATGAAGAACCTTTTTTTGTCTGAAGATCAACGAAGGTGTGAAACACAAATATACATTTAGTTTGTGAATGAAACTTTGTTTTCTAGTGATTCAAAGAGAGACTTTGGAGTAATCCTGTGAAAGTAGAAAAATCAAAGACTTCCGCTGCAAATACAAAGTACTCAACTCGTCGATTTTGCTCTATATATATTACAATGGTAACGGAGCCATTGATGTAAAGAATGACAGATCAAAACTTTACCTTCAAATTCTTCATGGGTTTTGTTTTTTAAATAGAAAGAAGAATAAGGACTTGAAAAAAGATCTGATTTTTTTTCGTGCTTTTTTTGGATTTGAAGAAGATGTAGTAGTAAATAAAATATAAAGGAGGAATATATATATTTTTTTTCTTTTTCTACTATATAGAAATGCCAAACCATGGACGACCTAGGGTAGTCAAGTAATTTCACTCAATTGTAAAAGTGAGTAAAATCTGGAACCTGGAAAAATCTAAAAAAAATTTTAAAGGGAGCGAAATCTGGAAAAATCTACCATCTCTCTCACAAGTATAATAGAAACACACTCTCTTCCAAATTTTCAAGGTTGGGTTCTGTTGACTTCTCTCATTCTACGAACTCTCTCTCAACATGGGTTTTGCAATCTCAGGTAAGTTTTGACCACAAATTTTTCACAACGTTCATTTACTTCCTTTGTGTTGCTTTTTTTGGTCTTTAATCTCTTCTTTGAAACTCTGAAAGACTACTCTTTTAGTTCTCTTCATCTCCTCTTTTGGGTGTTTCAATTTTAATTAGTTTTTCTTTCAATCTTTGCTTAAATTTCATCGCTAAAATTCTTGGTTTATGTCACTATTGTCCCGTCTAATCTCTCTAAGTTTAATTCTGTTTTTAAATTTAATCTGATGAGTATTTGTCCTTGTAATTATATTTAGCTCCAGTCATATTAAAGAAAAAAACAGTTCGGGAGATCATATATTGGGGAAAATCAGCTCTTAAAGAGTTTGAATTTAGTAAAATTATGAAAGTTTATGTAGAAGAATTTTGTACTGAAAGAGTATTTTGATAGCTTGGATAGTGAAAAAATTCAACCTCGTCAAAATCTATTACTCACACCAACCTGGTGTTGTTACCAAAAAAAGACCTTATCAAAATCTATTACTCACACCAACCTGGTGTTGTTACAAAAAAAAAGATCTTATTCAAAGCTACTCAAACTTAAGACCTATAAGTCTTAGTAACTTTATCAATAAGGTGTTTTCCAAAGTCATTCATGATAGAATGGAGAAAGTACTATCAAAACTGATTTTCCTAATCAGTCTAGATTTGTGAAGGGTAGAAGCATTATTAAAAATGTATTATTAACTCAAGAGATTGTTACGGATATTAGGAAGAGAGGAAAACCAACCAATGTTATTATAAAGCTTGACATGGCTAAGGCTTATGATAGGGTCTCGTGGCTCTACCTCGTCAAAGTCTTGTCAAATATGGGTTTCTCAAATCAGTTCATTGACATGGTATGGAGGTTGATTGCTAATAACTGGTACTCCATTTTATTTAATGGACAACCAAAAGGCTCTTTTCACTCTACTAGAGGGGTAAAACAAGGGGATCCTCTATCCCCTGCTTTGTTTATACTATCTGCAGAAATATTATCTAGAGCTTTAAACTCACTATTTGAAAATCATAACTTTGTGGGTTATGGAATGCCTAATTGGAGTCGGAACATCAACCATATAGCGTATGTAGATGACACTATCATTTTCTCATCTGCAGAGGAAGGGTCTCTAAAGCAAATAATGAGGGTTATTAAAGATTATGAAACAATCTCAGGGCAACTGGTTAATAAGGAAAAACGTTTCTTTTATATGTTTCATAAAGTGGAGGCTAGACTGGTGGAGAAAGTTGAGCAGATTACTGGTTTCTCCAAGGGAAACTTTCCTTTCAAATATTTGGGTTGTCCAGTCTTTCACAACAGGAAAAGAAAGGAGTATTACAATGATATGATAAAGAAAGTTAAGGAAAAATTGCAAAATTGGAGAGGAAAACTTTTATCTTTTGTAGGTGTTGTGCTTATTGAAAGTGTGCTTCAAAGTACTCCTATATACTTGCTATCTGTAGTTGTCCTTACTAAGTACACTATTAATGAGATCGACAAGATCTTTGCTAGATTTTTTTGGAGGAAGAAGGTAGAAGTAAGCATTCGGTATCTTGGTCAAAGTTGTGCCTACCAAAAAAAGAGGGCAAATCAGGCTTTAGACTTCTTCATGATATTTCTAAAGCACCATTTGCTAAACTCTGGTGGAGGTTCAGAACTATCTCTTCTTTATGATCAAATTTCATGTGGAATGAATATTGTAAGAAATTTAAACCAACAGATGTGTTGTGGAAAAATGGATCTCAAATATGGAAGAAAATGATTGAGGCGAGAGATGAAATAGATGGGAATATCTAGTGGGAGCCAATAAGTGGTACTTCTTACACTTGGGAGGATAACTGGACTGGTTTGGGAGCTATAAAATCAACTCATCCAGATTTTATAAAAGCTCCTAATACTGAAGAGTTGAATTTTTTCGCGGATTCAAATGGATGGAATAGATAAAAGCTTCACCAATACCTTCCTAAATTAGTTGCTAAACATGCTCAAAAGAAACTTCAATATGAATATATTCCTGAGCTTTCTGATCATCCTTGGTGGATGAAAACTAGTTCTGGAAAGTTTTCAATGGGCAGTGCTTGGGAAGAGATCAGACAGAAAGGTCATGAGAAGGAAGAATATGTTTCTATTTGGAGTATAGGGGTCCCTTATAAAATTTGTTTCTTGTTGTGGAGGTTGTGGAAATAAAAAATTCCCATGGATGAAGTGTTGAAGACGTTGAAGATAAACATGGTTTCTAGGTGTAGATGTTGTGAAAAAGCTCAAGAGGAAACAATGGTTCATCTCTTTATCAATGGATAATTTGCA